AAGCCTCAAGGCAATCTCCTCGGGTGCGGCTCCCTTATCGCGTGATCTGGAGGTAAAAGTTGCCGAGAGAATACCTAACGTAGAGAGGGTTGCACAAGGTAAAAAATTAAGCGACCAGAAGTTTTGTTTGCTGCCAGTTTTGTGTGTTAAGTACCAAACTTAGCCTAGTTTCTGTATGTCGTTTGTCCTAGGCCTTCACGGTCGCGCATTTTCGCCACGACAAGATCCGAAATGAAATAAAGAGGCCTAGGCTCAGGAGTCCATAATCGAGAAAGAGTAACACCAACGATAGGCCTCTGTTGCGGAGTTTTCAAGGACCAGTTTATTTTTAATTACATTTAAGAGCACTTTTCCTCCCGAGAATGGAAGCTCCTCTCGGTGAAAACAATGTGACACTAGGACATGGAAGTTGCTCGCTTCGGGTTATGGGCTCCTGGCAGGTAAAACTGAGAAATATACGGCAGCCGCGCCTGCCTTTTTGGCGATCGAAACGGAAGAAAACATCCCTACCCTTCCATCTTTGCCCCACGTAACTTAGTACGTTAATAAGGCACACATTATGTTTCATCTGTTGTTCTTGAAAATGAGAAGGAAACCACTGAGCAGAATTAAAGTGTACGTTATTTATTACGTTTTACAAGTGGCATATTTTTTTGCGCCATAATCATTATACCGTGCAAGATGGTTCTAACCTTTTGAGTCTTTGGATAAAATCCTTCATGACCAATCAGGTGACAGCTATTGCACAGTACTGTTCTGTGGTACTCTCCATTATGCTGAATTCACATTTACAGTCGAACCTCTATTAAGCGGCCAGTAATCAAAGTCCCGAAAAAACTGTAGAAAAGAATGGGAAATTAATTATCTATTCAAAGGCCACCTCTTTTAAGCGGCCGCGGCCACCTTCTGGGCGTTTCAACGAGAGTTCTCCCATTGTTGTCACCTCTATTAAGCGGCCATAAAGCGGTTGGTTAAGCTTCATTTTTAAGAATATAGTGAAGGAAAATGCGGTCCGAGATATAAGGTGACGGCCGATTGTGGACCATAATGCTTCTTCCGTCGCGTGTTTGTTTCAAAATAAAGTGATCAGTTTCTGCTAAAGATGATGCTAATTTATGACGAACATAGGCGGCGGAAGCTGGGGGGGGGGGGGAAAGTTTGAAGCAGCGCGACTTCACTTTTTAAGTGACGTCTTCGAAGCCGTCGCCGTCGTGGTTGCTTAAGCTCCTTACTACTGTCACTAGTACTGCCGCGGTTATCGCCATCGTCGTTGTCATCGTTGTCGACGTGGTTATTGTCATTTTCACGGCGATCGTTCTTCGTCATCGTCATCATCATCGTCGTCATTTCTGCTGTCATCATGGACGTCTTCATTCACATTGCCATCGTCATTGTCAATGTAATCAATCATTGTTATTGTCATTTTCATCGGCATTGTCATTGTGCTGTCGTCATTGTCAGTTTATTCTAGCAACAGTTACTTGTTAAGGTCTACTGCTTTTGGACTGTTCATAGTCCAGCGTAAAAATCTACCAAATTGGAAAGGACCTCAATTTTCCACAAAGATACATGTATTTGCTATTATCATTTTATGATCATGTGGCGTTTTATCACCTTATCTAACAGGTATCTCCGGCTGAAGTTGAAAAGGTGTTAACTGCTCACCCAAACATCGATGATGCTGCAGTGATCGGAGTTCCCGATCCTGAAGCGGGCGAAGTGCCGAAAGCCTTTGTTGTCCGTCGTGGCGAGGTGACCGCAGACGAAAATAATCATGGAATTCTTGTCTTCTCGAGTTGCTCCACATAAAAAGCTCAGGGGAGGGGTGGAGTTTGTCGACCAGATACCAAAATCTGCCAGTGGGAAGATATTACGAAGGGTTCTTAGAAGTAAACAAAACGAAAACGCTGTGTAGTAGATCACAGCTGAGAAGCAAGTGGACAGCTTCTGTAAGCGCCACCTGCTTACAAAAGGATTGCTCAGAGTTGGTTGGTGTTGGTTGCTGTCGTTTTTGCCCGGGGAGAGGGAGGCACTTCCTATAATTGCCTATACGGGAGGCTCCGTCCGAAAGGAGCACCATTTTTAGGTTCCATTTATATCAAAGGTAGGGTATTCACAAATTGAAGTTGATGAAAGGGTAGGAAAATCCATCATTTTTAGTAAGTACTTCAAGGGGGTATTGATTAAAATGTTTTGAAAAGACGCGCTTTAAAGACATGCTTTTAAGGTTTTTAGTTTTGTTTTATTGCACGTTACACGAAAATGACAAGAAGACTTCCTGTTGTAGCGATTTATTCTTATTAAGTAGATATCTTATCTCCCTTGGGAAAACCTGCCAACGATGACGTATCTAGTCCGGTCCTTTTCGGGTGGAGAGAAGCGACAACCGGAGATACAGTATGTCTGCTTTCTCAGGGTACCCCTTGGCGTTCGTCTATGATTTTTTTTTTACTCTCTACAAGGCGGACACAGCAGTGCCTGTTCCCATGGTATCTTAGTTCTTACACAGAATTTAGTACTTGCCCGAAAGAAAAGTCACCTTAAGCTACATCCTTTAGTCATCTTTTTACCGGTTGAGGATGGGGCAAGGGGTGCTGGCCACAGTCAGTCAATGAGAGTGTCTAGTATTCTTGCTGACCTATAAATCGGTGCCCTATATTACTAATGCCATCGACGAAATGGCTGATGAGCTGGTTATATAAGTACCACAACCCATTTGCCGTTGTCTTACGAATACTGTCTACTCAGAACTTCTATAGGTACTTTAAAGCGTGTGCCTATTAAACCATTACAAAAAGCGAATTATTCTTTAACCATGCTTGAATAATTACTTACGTTTTACGTATAAACAGGGGTACTATTTCAATAAAATTTATAACGTGCCTTTATATTGTCGAATCTACCTCACTCACAGTATAAAGGTCGAAGTTTCCCATGTACAAAATGTAAATGACCTCTGTATAGTACCACTGATTTTACAGTTAACTGTTACACAAGTACAGGCACTCCTTGCAAATATTCAATGATTTGACGTTTTCTAATCCCGGAGTCTAATTTATTGGCGCCATATCTAAACGTTAGTTGTTTAAGGTTTTACTAAAATTAACTTTTGTTCTCATCTAAATTGCTATCTAAATCAGCATTTGCGCGCGCAGAAAGATTCCAGCTTATTTAAAATGCTTTGCAGGCCAACAGTTATTTCGTAGGAATCACCTCAATAGCATCGCTGAGCCATTTTTCCACCACACTTTGGCATCACTGTTCCACTTTTCATCAGTTCGATCACACTACATGATCAGTGTGCCATCCACTGTTCCACCACACTTTAGTACCACTATGCCACTGTTCCAGTCAGTTCCACCACACTTTACTGTCACTGCCCCACTGTTCCACCACATTTTACTATCACTGTGACTCTGTGCTACTGTTTCACTGTCCCACCATACTTTACTGTTACATATATACGTGACACTGTTACACTTTTCCACTGTTGTACCACACTTTACTGTCACCGTGACTCCGTNCACCTCAATAGCATCGCTGAGCCATTTTTCCACCACACTTTGGCATCACTGTTCCACTTTTCATCAGTTCGATCACACTACATGATCAGTGTGCCATCCACTGTTCCACCACACTTTAGTACCACTATGCCACTGTTCCAGTCAGTTCCACCACACTTTACTGTCACTGCCCCACTGTTCCACCACATTTTACTATCACTGTGACTCTGTGCTACTGTTTCACTGTCCCACCATACTTTACTGTTACATATATACGTGACACTGTTACACTTTTCCACTGTTGTACCACACTTTACTGTCACCGTGACTCCGTGCCATTGTTCCGCCACTCTGTACTATCACTGTGACACTAGTGCCATTTTTCCACCGAACTTTACTATCACTGTGACACTAGGGCCATTTATACGAGGAAAAATAAGACGCGTCTTAAATAAGACGCGAACTGTACCATTTATACGAGCATGTCTTATCTAATAAGACGTGTCTTAGCTAAGCCGCGTCTTATTTTAGACGAAATGTGCCGTTTATACGGACAGTTCGCGTCTTATTTAAGACGAGTCTTATGTAAGACGCGTCTTATTTTTCCTCGTATAAATGGCCCTACTGTTCCACCACACTTTACTATTACTGTGACACCGGTTCTGCCACTGTTTCACTGTTGTACCACTCTTTACTATCACTGCGACACTATGCCACTCAGTTCTACCACACTTTACTATCACTATCCCACTGTTCCACCACATTTTACTATCACTGTGACTCTGTGCCACTTGACAAGGCATTGTGATTGGCTTAAGCCCAATCCTGGGCCGCCCATTACTAATTTTTCACTGCCCCGATGCTTTAGCCTACGCCCCAGACGTAATTTAACCTACGATGCGTAAGCGTCACGCGTGTCTAGACGGGTTTTATGACATAAAAACATGGACTGAGGACATCACGCGTGTCTAGACGCAAGTGTTTGGTTAAGTCCAGACGGAATATGAACTGGGGACTATGGACTTCGGATTGGTTATAAACCGCGGACTAGAATTACGAAGCTACGGACTTGGTAGCACGAATTAGGTATACATTTTAAAACGCGGACCACAGACTTATTGTTATAAAAAACGGCCTTGATATAAACAGATTGCGGACGAGCATAAGACAGTCCTAGCCTACCATCCTGGGTAAGTAATGAAAACTTTAGATGGTTTCAAAATGTACACACGTAGTATTTACAGGTCTGCTTAAATCCTCGATTTGGTTCTTTGCAGCTGATACAAAATCTTGAAAGGCGTGACCAGACTTTTTTAGGATTGCGTTACGTTAAAAGAACAGACAAAACATGCGCAATCGTTGCACATATTTTTGTACACCCAACAAGTGATGCGTTTTGTTGGAATTTACACTGTAATTACTGTACGTATAAAGGAATGATCGGGAGTTCATAATCGGTAACCATCGAAGAAGAAGGACGAGTGTTCATTCCACAGTATGGCTATCATACGAAGCAAATGGCCGGACGTAAACATTCCTGAGAATTTATCTTTGACTGAATTCGTTTTCAAGAACTTCGACATTTACGGAAACAGGCCAGCGATTGTAAGAATTGTTCTCTACTTTTCCTTAATTTGTGTTACGTGGATTGTTTTATTTTATGTCAATTTGCTCATTCTCTTTTTAAAATCTGCTGAATGTTTCAGCGTTTGGTTTTGTGGGTCTTATTCGCCTTACTCTTGCTTTTTAAGCGGAGGGCGATCGGGCACGATCAGTAGATGCATAAAATGTTTTTACTTTACCCCTTTTGGTTTTGTCGTTGAAAAATACATTGAAAGTAACAAGAAGTACTAAAAACGTAAAGAGGACTTAGTGTTTTTTGTTTCTTTCAATTTATTTCATGAGGCTTTTTGTGCTTTGTTTTCATTAATATTTGTCCAAGGCATGGCTCGATTGCGTGACAGCTGTTTTTTCACTTATCTGCATGGACTGCATGAAAGCTCTGCAAGTACCATGTCACGTACTAAACAAAAACGTTGCTGTCATCAAAATGGAGTTTGGGTGCCATAGAGTGAAAATATTGTACTTGGAAATGTAGTGTTTTTCGGAACACCTATTACAAATTTATGTTCCAGTGGACAGTTGTTTTGCCCAGATTTTAGGACAAATCTTCTCTACAGGAGTTAATGCACTTAGCAAAACAAATATGGAGGCGTTGAGGCATATTACATGTAAGGGATTAAAAGGTCCCACTTCCGGTTGACATGCAGTGCTCAAAAACGCCCCCATTATCTCCCAGGTAATTGTTCAGCAGTTTCCAAGTCATGTGTTCCCACTTTAACAAAAGTAAAGTCAGTCTGACTGCCACTCTTCAAATTCACGATGCTTCCTGAAGGGGCACCATGGCTGCCTTTATTCTGTTCAGGAACCTGATGCAGCCAGAGGTGTCCTTGCTGATCGAGTGAACATATTTGTCTTATACAGATTGATGGTTTTTCCGGAAGATTTATTACCTTTGCTGAGCTCAAAGATAAAACACGCCGCTTCAGCTCTGCACTGGCAAAGAGAGGCTTTAAAAAGGGTGATGTCATGGCTATGTATCTTCCAAATGTTGTAGAATACCCGATTATCTTCCATGGCGCTGCAAACCTGGGTGGAGTTGTCACAACACTAAATCCCCAATGCACTCGAGAAGAACTTTGTCGCTTCATGAAAATCTCCAGGGCAAATTTCGTAGTAACCTCTCCTGATCTTGCCCAAAAAGCTTTCAAAAGTGGCGTTTTGGAAAAAGTTTGTTCGGTCTTTGTCATTGGGCAATCAGAGAACTTCGAATCCGTTTCCTCTCTTTTAGCCGATGATGGAACAGCATTCCCCAAGGATGTGAAAATCAATCCAAGAGAAGATGTCGTGACTTTGTTGTTCTCTAGTGGAACAACGGGGGCTTCCAAAGGAGTGATGCTCACGCATTATAATCTTATAGCACAGTGTCGTATCCTTTATGGAGATTTTAACCCTCTTGAGGACGCAGGAACTGTTATCAATGTGTTACCTCCTTTCCACGTCTATGGCTTATCAGTAATTTGCTGGTCACGTCTTCACGCTGGGCGTAAAATTGTTCTGCTGAGACGTTTTGATCCTAAAGTGTTTCTCCAAGCCATTCAAGACTACAAGGTTAGTTTCTAATGGAAAAATGACCTTGGATCTACAAAAAAAGTATCAATGTGTTTTGACAGGAAAGACTGCCAGGAAAGTGCTCAAGAGAGGGGATCAGAAGCACGAATTCCCCAAGGACCATCTCTCATCCCTCAGGCCTTCGGAACTCCCCCCCCCCCCCCTTCCCTCTTTCCCTATTTTTTAGCATAACAAGCATTTTTTTTCTATTTTTTGCTATGATTTATTTTCTGTCTGCTGACTGTATATTTTTTTTCGACCTTCTGGGGTTTGTTTTTTTTACTGTTTTTTAGTCTACTATGTTTTTTTTTTGCTGGTCCCAGNTCTATAGAGGCTGTGCGACAAGGTTGGAATACAACCAGACCAAGGTTTTATGCCTCCTAAACTAGCCTGTGAATACAGCTGCCTCTCCTTCCTCCTTGCCACTCTCCCATGAAACACCCCTAGTGTCAAGGGGTGTGGAGAAATGGCTGTATTTTCCGGCTACTATCCAAATTGGCTCTTTAGCTATTTTCTAGATGACTATATAGTAGCCCTCAAAAGTAAATTGCCAGTCTGTTGCGAGTGTCTGTTCTCTCTTACTAGTTATTCCTGTGGGAATCGAGTAGTGAGAATCGAGAAATAGTTATAGAGAATAACAAATGATTCACCATGACTGACTTCTCGATGATCTACCTTTGAGATTCAGTGAAAAACTGATACAGGCATGCCTCCTGAAACCGGAACCTTTTTTGGGCTACAATTTAAACAATTTGATCCTCCCTATTTCGTTCCCTGAGCTTTTGTTCTCAACAGGCGAATCGAAATGATAAATCCTCACTCAGAGTCCCTCAAACCGAAAAGGAAGTGCGTCGGCCAGAAATAATAATTCTGACAGCTTTATGACCGAAGCCGGCGCAGGGGAGCACCATGGGTAAGAAAAAATGGTAGCCTATAGATGCGAGAAAATTTGGTACTCACGTGACCGTCTGTCCGTTCGTCCGTTCGTCCACCCCCTACATGTAAGCTGATGTCAAATGTCATATTTAGTACTACTACACTGACGTGTATAACAGAGAAAGAGCTAGAGCGAGAGATAAGAAAACAAAAAAGACGAATTTTGTTGGAAGAAAAACATGGAAATTTTATAGCGGCGGTGAGAAAATGAGAAATGCTAGCAGCCACCAAAGTAAAAGCGAGCGGCAGAGAAAAAAAAAGCGTGTAACCAGGAAGTTTCACGTTGTAATCGTGTAAAACGACAGCAAAGAAATGTACGCAAAAGTGTTCTACACCTGAACAGTTGTTTTTTGCTAATTAGACCTATTGATTTTTTTTTGCCGTTTTCGATGCCGTCGCCGTTTAGTACACACGATTTTATTTTTTGCTTGGGTAAACTATAACTTAATATTAACAAGAGCTTCGCTTTTAGCACTGGCTAAATCTATGTATTAATTTTAGAGGTAGACAGATTGAAAAATTTCATAGTCTACTGCTTGCCATGATTAGGAAGCTGAGGGGTGGATCAAGGAATCGTTGTTCCGGGTCTCCAACTTGCGCACACTGAGACCTGTGAAAGCTAATAGTTAAAAGCCTTACATTAGTTTATACTGCGTAGACCTTTGCTGTCATAATTCGCGAATTACATGTGACATTTTATTCTTAAAGGGCCTAAGTTGAAGCACTCTTCTCTTCTGTTAAACGACAGAGTAAAGCTGTCCTAATTTCGTTAATTTCAACAGGCCCCATCGCTGAAATCTGTAATCTTCTCTATGAAGATACCAGATAAAGATGAAAGTGATATTTGCGACTCTTCGGTGGTGATTATTTCAGTTTAAAGCAAGTTACTCAACTGCTTTCAGAAATGATCCAGTTTGAGTGATACATTTACGGGGAGGGGGAGGGTCCGGAACAATTGCCCTGTTTTGATATTCGCCACAGCATCGAACAAACCCGAGACTAAGGTCATCTTGTATCCGTTGAAAAACTTCTATCATACAAGATCTACTGCATCTGTTTTGCCACAGTTCTACTATCATTTTACCCTGCGAGCAGAATTTTCTCTGTTGCGTGGCTCAGTTTAGCATTTACGAAGTCGTTCGCGTCGCTTGTCAGGCGTACATACAAACCAACTACGCGACTGACAAGCGACGCGAACGACTTCCTAAACGCTAAAAGCCATGCAAGAGAGAAAACTTTGCTCGTAGGGTACTATCATTTTTTATACATTCATTTTTCATTCGTTATCTTCTTTTTTAGGTTTTGGGATGACAGAATTATCAGGAGCATCCCATACAGTAAATGATAAGATAGTCCCTGGATCTTTCGGTGCTTTATTGCCGAACTTAGAATGTAAGGTAGGTCTAGACTTTTAAAACGGTATTAAACCAGGTGCTTTTTCTTTATTTCAGCACTTAACCAGTCTCGAGGGTATTTATTTTGTGGTGAAAAAAGGACGTTTTTGAACGACGCACGGTAACCAGGAGTGGATATTTCTCTTTCCTTGTAAACTTCTTACGGAGTATATAGTTATTTCGAAAAGGGTGCATGCAACGGTGAAAAACTTTGCGGAATGACCTTTTAGAGTCTTTTAGAAAAGCGTTCACATATAATCCTTTAAGCGACAGCTATGTTCTGCTCAGTAAACCTTGACCAGTCTAATAGTTCAGTTTTAGGATCATACTCAATCATTTGTCACTTATTAACGCTAGCACGGCTTCCATGTCAGTAAAAATGGTTCGTTAGTCCGGATACTGATACGAAAAAAAAAATCAATCACTCACTTACTGTTTCTGCTGTAGAGAATGTCCGCTTACAGGATGTTCCACTATACGCCCCCAACTGGTTTTTGTCTAGTTTCACCCCGACTGACCAATGTTTCTCACGTTTTCAGTCTTTAAACCAACATTTTTTTTGTTTTACTCTCCTGAAAATATCTCAGATTATTGATCCTGATACGGGTAAAATCCTTGGGCCAAACCAGGACGGAGAAATGTGTATCAGGGGACCAACTGTAATGAAAGGTAAGGTCACCCACCCGAGGGGTCCCTGTGGAAATTCTAGTCTATGGTCCCGCTTTTAGCCTGTCATACGCAATGCGCTCAGTATTTAAATGTGGCTCTTAATCTCTAACTCTTTTATTACAAGAATTCGATTCTGAATTTGATTGGTGAGAATAACTGCTTTGGTTTTTGTCTAGTTTCAATCATCCTTTTTTTCAAAAATTGTTAATACCATTCATGTGCGTAAATACCAGTACGTTTCAGAGTGCTTTTTTTTCCGTTTGCTAGGTTACTTAGACAACCCAGAAGCCACTGCACAAACAATTGATAGTAAAGGCTGGTTACATACAGGAGACATCGCACGTTATGACGAAGATGAATATTTCTTCATTGTTGGTCGGATCAAAGAACTGATCAAATACAAAGGATTTCAGGTACTTATTCCTCGGGTAAGAAGTTCCTCGCTCTCAGGTAGTTCTGTTCACAGACCCTCTCTGTTCTCTTAAGAAAATTAAAACCGGGGCCTAGTTGTTCGAAGGCTCCCGATTAGCGCTAACCCGGGGTTAGCTTAACCCAGCTTTGAACAAACCGGCCCGGAGGAATATTGTAAATGCGTAAACCCATCCGCGCGATATCTTCGATGTATATGCTATGAGAGGCTTTTCTCTCTTCCAGGTCCCTCCCGTGGAGCTTGAATCATTGTTGATGACACACCCGAACATCGATGACGCGGCGGTAGTCGGAGTCCCGGATCTCGAAGCCGGAGAACTGCCGAAAGCGTTTGTCGTCCGTCGCGGAAACGTAACTTCACGCGAAATAATGGAGTTTGTCGCTAAGAAAGTCCAGCCACAGAAAAAGCTCAGGGGTGGAGTGGAGTTTGTCAGCTCGATTCCTAAGTCTTCTACTGGCAAAATACTACGTCGCCTCCTTAGGAAAAATGAAAATTCTAAAAGTCACCTCTAGAACCCCTCAATCATCTCTCCGCCTTAAGGCTGGGGGTGGAGGAGTGGGGAGAACAAAGAGACAAGCAAAGCAAAAGTAATAATAAAAGAACGGAATTGATTTGCACCAACCAGACTCAGCCCATGCTACCATTAGTTTCTATAATCTGAGAAATTCAACCAAAAATGTTCCCCTTCTTCGACACAAACTGACCCTACGAACACAGACGTATCTCCGGTCGTCCCTTCTCTCCATCCGAAAGTTACTTTTCGGGTGGAGAGAAGCGACGACCGGAAATGCGTGTGTTCGCAAGCTACGACGCAAAAAATATTTAATAATAATAATAATAATAATAATAATAATAATAATAATAATAATAATAATAATAATAATAATAATAAAACAGTCTGTTATATTTACAGTGGAGCTAAGCTATGAAATAAATAACCAGAGGAGGTCCGAAGTTGTGAGACCTTCCTTTCATTAGTCAAAGTCCACTGGCCTTTGATTGACCTCTAGGTCACCGATCATTTTGTATGAATACTAGAGAAATTGTTTTATATTATTTTAGGTAGTACAGAATGTATTAGATTGTTTAATATTTTAACAGTATCAATATGTAGAGCATGCTCAAAGCTTTGGATATTGTACATGTCCAGCCGTGAGTTTTCCATCAGAAAAAAAAAAGAAGTCAGCCTTTTTAATACTACGTAGCATACGAGCGTGTGGAATCTCCTACATGTAGTCAGTGGCATACTGTCATGCGATCAATCCGGTGGTATACAAGCCTCGGCTTTTTTTGCTCTTTTCCTTTTTTTGTTTTTTTTCCTCAGTGTATATTTCACGTTGTTGTTTTTTTTTACCCAACCCGCGCCAGATTCTGCGAGACACGCATTTCTAGCAATGATTTGCAATGATTTTTATATCAAGGTTGTATCTGCAACCTCAAAATATACAGCACGCGACAATCCCGAAAGGGATTGTGGGTGGTTTTGAGTTATCTGTTCATCTTCTAAGAAGTTTAAAAGAATGGCACGAGAGGCCTTGGAAGTATGTTTGTTAGTGCTAAAGGAAAGCAACAAAAGTAGGTTC